AATCATTAGGAAAGGAATAGATAAGACAAAATACCATATTGCCTCTATATAAAGTATGCCAACAACTTGAATACTCGATGCAGATTTGATCACTCCATCTAAAACAAGACTTACTGGATTTGGAAAAAGTACAGCAAGGACAACAAATTAGGGTTAAGGAACAGCTTCCATATGAAGAGAGATTAACAAGACTGGGACTTTTCAGCTTGGAAAAGAAATGACTAGGGTGGGGGGGGATAGGTCTAAAAATCATGACAAAGAAGCTGACCCAATTAAATATGTAGGCAGAAGATTTAAAATAAATTATATATAAATATATATTTTTATTCCCCCCATTCCCCCAGTGAACTTGTGGAAATCTTTGCCAGGAGATGGTGGAAAGGCCCAAACCATAACAGGGTTCCAATAAAAAAAATACATTCAGAGAGGACAGGTCCATCAAGGGCTACTAGCCAGAAAGGGCAGGGATGGTGTACATAACCTGTCTGCCAGAAGCTGGGAATGGGCGACTAGGGATGGATCATGAGGATTGCTCTTTTGTTTATTCCTTCTGAAGCACCGGGCATTGGCCACTGTGGGCAGACAGGCTACTGGGCTAGGAGGACCATTGGTCTGACTCAGTACGGCCGTTTTGATGTTCTTATATAGAACTGAAAAGTATCTGCCACCTGCTGTAACCCACTAGACTCCACTCCCCTTCCAGAGCTGAGAGAGCCCAGAAGTCCTGACGCGGGGGAGGGAGAGCAGAAGGAGGGGGACAGGGGGGTGCTGGTCTCTCGCCGCAGTTAGTAAAGTAAGAATATACATTAAAATGTTCAGTCTAACTGCCAGGGGTGGCCCGTGACTATAGGCCAACTCGGCTGTTGCTTAGGGTGCCGCCTTCAACGGGGCGCCCGATGACATCACAGGGCACCCAAGGTGCCCAATTATGACATCACTCCATTGACGGCCATGCAGGTGGGGGCGCCGATCGCGCGTTCCGCCTGGGGTGTCAGCTGCATCAGCCCGCCTCGGGGCGCTCCTGCTAACTGCCAAGTTGTCTGCCAAAAAAGTAGGAGTTTTCCGGTGCCTTAGTAGCCCCGGGCTAGAGGTGATGTGTGTGTGTGTGGATCCTGCTAACTGCCAAGTTGTCTGCCAAAAAAGTAGGAGTTTTCCGGTGCCTTAGTAGCCCCAGGCTAGAGGTGAGAGAGAGAGAGAGTGTGTGTGTGTGTGTGTTTCCCTCCCGCATTTGGTGCTTGGCTTGTACTGAGCATGCTCAGTACCACTGCTGAAGCCACTGTCCTCAGTCCACCCCCTCCCCGGTGCTCTCTCCCTCCATCACAGCATGCACAGGTCAGCCCTCCCCTACCAAAATCTGAAATGGCGCCCCTGCCTGTAGGACCATCCCCATCAGTGCCACTGTGACTCTTCATCCTTTCCTTGGCTCTCCCATACAGGTGTCTCCTGGCTACGGCCTCACTCCTGCAGCAGGGCAAACCCTGGCTCTCATGCTTGGTTATTTCAGCGAAGGACCAGTGCACAGCACAAACTCCAGGGCATGGAGCGCCCATGGTCAGGGAGCTGTCAGTCTCTGGCAGAGGAGAGCCATGAGCAGAAGAGGCTGGGGAAGGCCACCACCTCCCCCTCTCCCATTCGTGTCTTGCGTGGCTAGAGACCCAAAGTCAGCCTGGCAGCAACGGAGGGAAGCCAGGCAGGGACTGGGCCTCCAGTGTAGTGTGTAGGAGGAAGGGTCCCCACCCTGAGACACGACACTGCGTGGATACAAGTAGCCCAGAGTCTTGCAGGGAGAGAGCAGCACGACTAGCCCTGGCAGGGGGAACTTCCCAGGCCAAACCCTGCTCTTGGCTGGAGAGCATGACGTCCCCCTGAGTACCAACAGGAGCTGGATGTGCCAAGCCGTGCTTCACGGGGGGGTCATAGAATAATAGGACTGGAAGGGACCTCAAGAGGTCATCGAGCAGGTGCGTGGCTAGAGACCCAAAGTCAGCCTGGCAGCAACGGAGGGAAGCCAGGCAGGGACTGGGCCTCCAGTGTAGTGTGTAGGAGGAAGGGTCCCCACCCTGAGACACGACACTGCGTGGATACAAGTAGCCCACAGTCTTGCAGGGAGAGAGCAGCACGACTAGCCCTGGCAGGGGGAACGTCCCAGGCCAAACCCTGCTCTTGGCTGGAGAGCATGACGTCCCCGAGTACCAACAGGAGCTGGATGTGCCAAGCCGTGCTTCACGGGGGGTGACCCCACTCTACCACACCGCTCAGCACAGGGGCAAGTGTGTGCGATGACAGAGCAGGGCACAACAGTGCAGGCTGCGACCAGGAAGACCTGGCACAGGCCAGGGCTCTGCGTGCCCCCAGGGAGCCTCAAGCCACAGTGGGGACCCTGCCTCAAGCCCTGGGGGGGACAGTGGAGC